GATCTCTGCACATGTTCTGTGGTATCTAACGCCAAGACCAGCTGATTTTTTAAGTCCTGTAAGTTGCAAGGTGGGACCTCCATGGATCATGTTGTTGTTCCATCACATCCCATAAATGCTAAATCAGTTTGAGATCTGGGAAATTTGGAGGCCAAAGCAACACCTTGAAGTCTTGGTCATGTTCCTTAAACCATTCCTGAACAATGTTTTAATTGAGCAGGGTGCATTATCCCGCTGAAAGAGGACAAGTTCTGGTATAAGATGTATAGGATATACATTCTGGTATGGTTTTTTTTGGAACCAAGGGGTTTAATATATATTTATGCAAATGAAAGTCAAAGATTGAAAAGCTATATTGGTGTGGCATTTTGCATTTTACTTGGAAAACGGTTGATTAGATATTTATCTGGACAGACATTAACACTATCTTATTTCCCAGTCTGTATTTGAGGTATGACATCAGAGCATAAACAATAACATTATTTATACAGACATAATTAGTAATCAGGCTTGAGTTAATCATTAGGGAAGATATTAGAATTATGTGATACTATTTTGATAAAAGGCTGCTTGTGCCATTATTGTCTAAGTTATCCAAACTACTTGGCCAAACTACTTAGCTTACTAGGAAATGTTTGAAGTACTGATAAAAAAAAAACCCTTTCAGACTATTGTGAAACAGTGATTAATGTGTCATTGTTGAAAAAGAAAAAAGAACTGTTACAGACAAAGCAGTAGTTGTTAATAAATCAACATCAGTAAAATCACAAAAATGAACAATGAACATCTTATATGTGTACTACAGTTATAATCATATTAATATTATTCTTATTATAGGCATAGGTTATTGTGCAGCTAAATTTATATTTCACTACAATTGTTTTTTATTAACTAAACTATTTAACCCTTTAGTGACCAGACCGGTTTTCAATTTTCTTACCGTTTAAGGACCACTATAGTACCAGGAAAACAAACTTGTAGTCAGGGCCGGATTAACATAGGGGCTGATGGAGCTGCAGCTCCAGGCCCAGGCCCATGGAATAGGCCCATTTAAAAAAAATAAAAAAATTTTTTTTTACACCCTACTCTTAGGTTTGCCACCTGACTGGTATTTTACTGGCACAGCCGGTATTTAAAGCTGCCTGGTCGTGCCGGTATTGCAGTAATACCGTCAATACAAATGCAGGTATTTTTCTAAGAATAAATGGAGATTACACTGCAATACCAGCACCAGCCAGTAGGGGTCACTGTGTTTGGAGAGAGGCAGGGATAGGAAGTTACAGCATATCCCTGCCTCTCTCTACTACTTACTGATCCGTGGGGGAGCAGCAACACAGCACAGGTAAGTGAGGGATGGGGGGAAAGGCAGCAGGGACACATGGGGACACTGAGACACTAGGGGACACATATATGGACACTGAGACACTAGGAGACACATGGGGACACAGACACTAGGGGACACTGAGACACTGGGACACATGGGGACATGGACACAGGGAGACCTGGAAACACTGAGACACTTGGGGA